GAATGAAATCCTTGTTGGAGCTCTTTATACACCAATTATGATGAAACCCATAGGTTTTCTCAAAGAAAGAGTACAAAGAAGTGTCAAAGTAGAGACAAGGTTTTTGTAATCTCACCAGCCATCTTAAAAAAGGTGTTTTTCACTGAAGGTGGCAACACTCTTAACTCTTGCCAATGGGACTTGGATGAGACTAGCACCCCACTCGGTGAAAACCTTTCTGAAAACCTTCACGGCTGACATCAAGTTTTGACCCAGTACTTCACTGAAATGTAAAAAACCTGACTACAAGCAACACGCGATGAGCCATTTAACTGGGCGTTTCTTGATATTTAGTGGCACAAGCATGTATGTGACACGAAAACAAAGCTCAAAAGACCATCAGGTGTCAGGTGGTGCATATACTGAAAATGTCAAGTATTGGCAATTCAACATTTCCACACAGAGTATACCGTTCTACATATCCCAAAACGTCCATACACTTTATTTTTTGTAATAAAAGCCAAGCGCCTTGCTCCACAAACCTGGCCGGTGTTCCTGGACGAAATGACACTGACATCAGCGGGGTTTTCAATGGCGACAATGGCGCGCGCTGCCAGCAGGAGCTTCTCCCAGGTTCGCTTCAGATTTATGATGTAGATGCCTAGCGACAGAAATGGCTTTAGCGCCCGACCTTGCTCTGCAAGTGGACATTCTTCTAACGACCGAATGTGGCAGAGAGCACTATCAAACTCCAGTCACCGAGGCAAGCTCTACTGGTGTTAGCGAACACCCTGCCGTCAATATAGCACACTTCCGACACCCAGGAGTTCACTGGCCAAGACTGGCCTCACCCTGAGCTTTAATAGTGTGCAGCCTTCACCCAGCAGGCCAAGTGCACCTTCTTCTTCCCCCGCAGTAACCCTCCTTCAGGCCCCCATCTGGATTCCTGCAAGCTGTGGTCCACTTCCTAGCCTCTCACCACTCTCTGCCTTGATACCAAATTCACCCCAAAACCCCTTTACAGCACCCTCTTCCCAGGCTCAATCCGTCAGAGACTCTATCTCTGCCCACGACCCACACTCCTGTGGCAACCCCTCTCCCCTCATTCATTCCCATCTCTTGCTGCATGTTCCCCAGAACTCAGCTGACCATACCTGTATCAGTACCTGTGAATATAAGGCACTATGGGAGGGAAGTTACTGGGAACTCAACTCACAAGCTTCCTCATCCTCTTCCTCTCTCACATCTCCTTAGCAACCCACTCCAGTCCCATAACCTAGCTAATACCACACTCTTCCCACGGAGCCCAGAAGCCTTTCCTTCCAAACACAACCAGACTCCTTTCAGTGTTACTTAGTAATTACTTAGTAGAGAGCCCTCCAAAGCAGACACAGAAATTACTTCACCCAACACTACCCATAGTAACAAGGAGGGTTGCAATTGGTCCCGAAAGCTGGAATTGGAAGGGGGGAAAAAAAGCTACAGCAAAGACTGACCATCACTTTTCCTTTTGTAGATGTACTGTTCCATTTGAAAGTCAAGGTTGGTGCCACCTAAGTGGGTTCCTGCAGCAAGGAATTTGAGGACATCCTCCTCCTTCATTTGCAAGACATCAAGGCCTCCGGACATTGTGAAAGTTACCCTTTAAGTTACGTGGGAACCTGAAAAACAATAGTTAACAATGGAGTCCTTCCTTTCCGTGCCAGCGGGGTAGGGTAACAGGTGCATGCCCTGCTAGGTTGCACTTACAGTTTAGGAGGGTGAGACATAATTGCACAGACTGCAGCAAACCTTGCCGAGAAGGGGTGGAGTTGCACAAACCAAGTACTAAACTAAATGGCAATAGTGAACTGAGTCTTAACACTTCTCAAGGAAGCCAGGAGTTAAGCCGAAGTTACAGATGAGCAAAGAAAACCACCAGCTGTGAGAACAGCCACGTTGGAGTAGTAAGCGGAGCAAACGTAGAAGAAATGGGAGCAGATTTATATTCAAAGAGATTGTAGGTGGGCACGTCGGATTTAAGTCTCCCTGCATTCCCAACTGGTTTTCCTCAAAACCCTGTCAAGAACCTTAGCACCAACGGGGAAAATCCACGAGCAATGGCGCCTGGGCCACTGGGTTCACTGCGTCAGTGTCGGGGTCCCAAGCGACCACAGAGCGGTGCATTCGCCCCTTCCCTCCCTCCCTGAACCCGCGCTCACCAGGAGTTTGGACCACACCGCAGCTCCGTGCCAGAGTTCGAGCGCGACCTCCCACCGCTCGTGGGGCATTGTGGGAACCTGCAGGCCCAGACTAGCCACGTGCAGGCCGCGGAGCCGCGGCGGGGCGCACCGATTCCTGCCAGACCCACCCCGTCTGCAGGCCTTCATCCCCGGTCCTCGCACCCCGGGTTCGAGCAGGAAGGTAGTTTCAGCGGCCTGCGGGACGCTGGGGAACCTCACATGGGACTCACCGAGAACAACGCCGTACGGGCCCTTCCCTTGGTAGCGCGGAAAAAGGCATGGCAGCGGAAGTGACGTATTTATATACCCCGCCGCCAGCCAATGACAACAAAAGCCGGGAGGAAAAAAGGCGGAGCCCGAGGGAGCGTTGTGGGGCGGGCCTTCTCCTTCTGGGAGGCGGGCTCACGGCGCTGGCGCATGCACTGGTACAGGCTCTAGGAGCGCGGCCTGCAGGGGCGCCAGGGTTCTCGCGGAGCGGTGTGCCACCCTCCGGCTGGCGGGCTCTCGGACCTCCTACGTAATCGGGTGCCGGACGCAAGCCTGACGCCAGCCAGCCAATCAGATTCCAGCCTTTCCCCGCCTTTTGTACTGACCTGCGAACTTGAGCGGGTCCCTCACCCAAGCTGCTGGACCCCTAACGTCTGTGTTTGATGTTCAAAAGCTGCGGAAATTGTTTTCGTTTTGGGGAGGACAATTTAGCAGAACGTAATTCAGATCCTAAAAGTTCACTGATGGGAAGTTTTCCTAAAAGATACAAAAGACAAGACTGCACAGATGCGTGAAATGTGTGTGTGTGTGTGTGTGTGTGGGTGTGCGCGCGCGCGCGCTTGCTTAAAAAATTGCCACATCCCTCCAGACTAGTGTGGCTCAGCGGGTTGAGGGTGGTCCGGCAAAGGAAAAGGTCGCAGATTGGTTTCCCAGGCCAGCGATGCAACCAATCATGTTTCCCTCTCCTCTCTAAAAATAAGTAAAATCTTTTTTTTTCATTGCAGTATATCCATCAATAGGTTAGTTAATAAAAATTGATCCCATCGACACTATACAGCCATTAAAAAATAATTAAAATTCTGTGGCACAAAAGAGGATCAGGATGAGGGCGACTATTTTTAAAAATTGAAACTAGACATTAAAAGATTTTTGTAAATAGACAAATTATTAATAATTATACAGTAGGTGTCAAACCTGGCTGCACTTAGAATCATCCGCAGATATTGGAAGTATGCCCAACTCCAAACCAAGAAAATCTGATTTTTAAAAATCGCTCCTGAGACCCCTGGCCCAGTAGCTCAGTTAGTTAGAGCATCACCCCTATACGCCAAGGTTTGCGGCTCCATCCTGGCCAGGGCTCATACAAGACGCAATCGGTGAATGCATGAATGGGTGGAACATAGATCAATGTTTCTCTCTCTCCAAAGTCAGTAAGTTTTTAAAAAAATAGCTCCTGAGATTGTAATGTGCAGCCAGGGTGAGAACCACCGATACACACGTACAGAAACTTGGTCGGTTATTTGCTCATTTTTAGGTATTTTTGAAATTTTCTATGAGGAACACAGGTTGCTCTGAAGTTGAAGCAAAACCCCACTGGTTTTAAACTAAACTGACAGAAGAAAAGGAGTCAACTTAGGGGCACGGCTTTCAGCATTCCGAGAAATGGCTGGAAGTATCTCGAGACATTGTGGCACTCACAAAAGGCTCAAGACTAACAAACAGCCATGTGAAAATGGAACGGCTGGTTTTTAAGGACAGTTTTCTGTCACTGCAGGACTGCTCCCGGGGGCTTTCTGGACACTCAGAAACCATCCCCCCAACATCCTGGTCTGAAGGGGATCTTCCGTCCTGGTAACAACCAGGACACTGCCCTGTCATGGTGCTTCAGTGCCTGTTTCTCCACAAGACACTAAGGTATTCCCCACAAAATGACTTTGTCTTTGACAACTGATCCTCGTGGTGAAAATTCTTGGCAAGGCAATGAGAAAAGTCCGAGGACAGAAAGCGTACTTGGTGACAGTAAGTCCAGGTGCCGACCCCTTGCCGAGGAGGCACCTGTCCAAGAGCAGCCGCAGCTCCCACAGCTCCCGCCCCACGTCTTCCTCCCCACCTGCAGCCTCCCAGGGCCTCTGCACAGGTTTCCCCAGCATTTCTTCTCCATGTCCGCTGCTGATGAACGGAAATCTCAGAGCCTTCCTTTGGCAAGCTTTGATTTCTAGGGATTGTATTAAAAATCTAAAAACTGGGCTTAAATTTTTTTCAAGTATAAAATTGTGCTAAGGACTGTAGTTTTTTGGAGGACACCGCACACAGCATTGGGTGGCTAGGAGAGGCCCATTCAGACTGGAAACTGAGATTATGGAGCACCTACCTGGCCGCAGGCATCAAGTTCATCTTGGGCATCCTCCCACCTCCCTTTCTAATCAGACTTGTTTCCTGCTCCTCTTCACCTGTTTGGCTGGTACCTAATCGTCCAACAGTCCTCTCACCTGTAGTAGCCTGAGCAATGTTCCAAAATCAATTTTCCCTCCCTTGTTCTGAAGCTCTCATTCCCTCAGTCAAATGGCATGCCCCTTCTGTCCACCGAAAGCATTCTATCTATATAGCTTTCCTCCGTCACTTCGAGCTTCATGTCTTGTGTTAGCTCCTGCCTTGGACTCCCAGCTGCACTGCATGCTGTGACTGAGAACGAGTCGCTTAACCTCTCCCAGGAAGTCACAGCCGTTGGTCATTCAGCTGACCCCTGGAAGGAGCCCCTGTGCCTGGAAACAGGCAAGTGAGTGAGTGGGAAGGTTCACCCGATGTTCATCATTTATGAGCCAAGGAAACATTTTAATGCTATATACAAAAATTAAAATTATATATCAATACCAAACATCAGCACTCAAATGGTTAAACATTAAATTACATGTATATAAGCTTAAGGAATCACATTAAACAGAAAGGACATGACTATCCTTGAAATCGAGATAGGCCTGGAATTCTGGGTTGTGCTTCAGTCTTCACAGCATCCTCACAGCCACATTCTCACACAGGCCCAACAGTCTTCGGCAACTGCCACCTTGAACCTCTGGGTTTAAGGACAGTCACATCTGCAGGACGTTCACGGCCAAGTCCTTTCAGACTTCAGAGTTCCCTGAGGTCCAGTGGGATGAGTTCTCAGCCAGCCGAGCCAAATCTCCTTTTATACAGATGCGGAAGCCGAGGTCCGAACATAGTCCACATTACATAAGAACATAATTACAATTGAAACTCATGCTCAGTCCACAGTCTGTTACTCTAAAAACGCCAGTCTACATACAGGCTCTCTTTACAGTGGGTTGGGCCCCATTCAGCTGCACGCTGAAGAATGCGTGGTGTAGAGAAAGGACGTGGTACAGACAGGACTTCACTACATGGGGTGGAAGGAAGCTATACATTGAATATATACATATACAAAACAAACTGGAGAAATACAACTAATAACAGAAATAATGCAACATGATAACCATTTATACTATGCTACTCAGCTTCCTTTAGAAAGTCTACTACAAAAGAGTCCTTATTTTTAAAATCTTCCTGATGTCAAAAGTACACGGATTTAGTTAGCGTCGATTCCATTACAAGCGATACTTTGACGGGCTCCTCCCGTAGATGAAAGTTAGTGTGCACCACTTTGTTATTCACCTGTAACAGAAAAGCACAGACTGTCCAAATGCATGTAAGCCTTTCAGGAAACCCCACAGGATGAGACGGCAGAATTCGGACCCCACCAGGAAAGCAGTGCAAACAGCATTGGAAGGAGATGTCCCCACAAGTGCTTGGAACGTAGCACTTTGAGATGGAAAGAGCGCTGGACTGGTCAAAAGAGTCCCCATGGACTCTTCTCGGAGCCCCCTGGGCTCAGTCTCAAGCTTGCCCCTGGGTAATATCAGGTCAGGTAGTAACCCTTTCTGAGCCTGGTACTCATGGTGCAATGAAAGTGTAGGATTGCGCCCTGACTGGTGTAGCTCAGTGGATTGAGCGCCAGCGTAGGAACCAAAGGGTCACTGGTTCGATTCCCAGTCAGGGCACATGCCTGGATTGCAGGCTAGGTCCCCAGTGGGGGCATGCGAGAGGCAATCACACATTGCTGTTTCTCTCCCTCTCTTTCTCCTTCCCTTGCCCTCTCTCTAAAAATAAATAAATAAAATCTTAAAAAAAAAGAAAGCATAGGAATATGCTATGTCTAAAGTATCCAACAGCGGTACACTTCCATGGTTGGCTGTAAGCACATCTGTCACCTGCTAACTAAGCTCCAAGTGCCTTTAGTGCAAAGGCCACCTCGTGCTTACTTCTACACATTTTCTCACCAGCCCCTACTCAGCAAGAACCTGAAGAATGAAGGGTGCTTAAAAAGGAGGGAGATTGGGGCACGTGCTTCAACATGATTGGAGAAGGGTGTTATGCTAAGTGAAATGAGCCAGACACAACAGGACAAATACTGTAATATTCCACTGACAGGAGGAACCTAGGGTAGTCAAATTCAGAGAGACAAAAAGAAGACTGGTGGCTGCCAGGGGCTGGGGGTGGGGAGGAGGAATGGGGACTGACTATTCAATGGGGCAGGGTTTCAGTTCGGGAAGATGAGGAAGTTCTGGAGAGGGTTGGGGGTCATGGTTGCAAGACCATATGAATGTGCTTAATGCCACTGAACTGCATCCCTAAACATGGTTAATGTGGTGAGTTAAAACAAAAATGAAGGGTGTTCAGTAAAGACTTAGCAAACATCAGTCAGCAAAACAGTTTTTCAGTTAGCATTAAGCTAAAATGGGTTTCTATGTACAGTTAGTTAAATCTGTCTTTATTATTATTACATAATACAGATTTATGCATGAGAAACTGACAAGAAACTATTTTTTTAAAGAGAAAAATCAAACAATCGATGATATTTGGGAATATGGTTGGAATCCCCATCCAAATGGTCTGTAGTCCCTCCTTTTAACATTTTTTCCCCAAGAGCTTACGTAAATGAGGTGTTTAAAAAAGAAAGTTAAACGTTGTATGTAAAATATTAACAATAGTTTCTTTTTTTAATATTGTGCTATTTTTATTTTTTTAGATTTATTTATTTATTTATTTATTTATTTATTTATAGAGAGGGAAAGGAGGGAGAAAGAGAGAGAGAGAAACATCAATGTGCTGTTGCTGGGGGCTGTGGCCTGCAACCCAGGCAAGTGCCCTGACTGGGAATCGAACCTGCGACACTTTGGTTCGCAGCCTACGCTCAATCCACTGAGCTACGCCAGCCAGGGCCCAATAGTTTCTTTTAAAGAAATAAAATAGGTACCATCCCTTGCAGAAGGGAGGATCGGTTACTGCATAACTGATTATGCAGGCACGAACCCTGGAAGCTGGTGGCTTGGGCTGGAAACTAACTCAGCCACGCCCTGGCCCTGCAGCTGGGAGAGTGGAAGGCAGTCCCGGTGGCTGCCTGAGGGCAGCTGGAGACCTAAATGATTAGTATCTGTAAAGCACAGGGGGAGCCATGCCATCCACGTTAGTATTGCTGTTCGTGTGCTCATTTACAACCTTTTCTAACCGCCTCTCTTTGGGTATTAAACTCCCAGGTTAAGAAGAGAATTACGCTTCAAGCCTGATGATAAACCCCTGCAATCGGGCCACCCTCCAAGCTGTGGTCCCGTGTGAACGTGTTCGACTCTCAGCCTCTCGTCCACCCAGTGAACACTGACCGTGGGCTACCAGCTGGGGGGACCCCTGCCAGCCAGGGTCTGTCTTTTTTTTTAATTTTTAATTTTTTTTATCCTCACCTGATGATATGCTTATTTATTTTAGAGAGAGGGAAAGAGAAGGAGAGAAAAAATCAATGTGTTGCTTTCTCGTACATGCCCCGGCTGAGGGCCAAACCCACAACCTAGGCATGTGCCCTGACTGGGAATCAAACCTGTGACCTTTTCATTTACAGGATGACCGCTCCAACCAACTGAGCCACGCAGACCAGGGCCAGTGTTGGTCTTCAAAGAAGCCCTCGGGTTCTCCCTTCCCCTAGGGGAGCTGTGAGGCCAGCTCACCTAACAGCCCACTCGCTCATGTTACCAATGAACAGAAAGTGTCACTGTCAGTTCCCCCTGGCATGTGGCTCAGCCGTGTCTTCTGAACAACGCTGCCACAGTCCTCTACGCCGGGAGTCCCCAAACCCCAGGCTTCGGACCGGTACCGGTCCACAGCCTGCTAGGAACAGGGCCAGGACACACCGCAGGAGGTGAGTGGCCTGAGCTCCACTTCTTGTGTCCCCCTACCCACCTCCATGGAAAAGTCTCCCATGAAACCGGTCCCTGGTGCCCAAAAGGCTGGAGACTGCTGCTCTACACGCATAATCAGCCCAGTGTCTTCACGTAAAACTTGCGTGGCTAAGCTCAATCCTGTCATGAAAACCTTCGAGTGCATTAGCTTCAGAGTGAGCGGACTACACGGTCCCCTGGAATTCACTTACCCTGGTGAAAAAGTCAGCGATGTGCCACTTATTTCCATATTTTTCAAAGACGTCAGTCATGGCCTGGATCATCACGGAGCCGGTGCGGGGGTGCCGTAAAGCAACGTGATCTACAAATTAAAACAAAAACGTTGTGTCCGTGTTTCCCCTCTGCTTGCGCTAACTGTTTGGTGGCCACAGTTAGGGCCTAGAAAATGGCTTTGAACCGAGACCGCAGAAACACTCTTGCGTTAGCAGAAGTGTGTCCGGGGCCATGACAGACACGGGCACACACCTGCGCCTCCGAGGGGACTCGTGTGACCAAGAGCACACAACCTCTCAATACAGCATTATTTTATATGCATTTTTTACATACAGATCTTCAGATATACACAAAAGGAGAAAGCAAATTTAACAGATGCCCATATAATCATCCCTAAGATTCAGCGGTTCTCCTGGTGCCACTTGCTTCATTTTATCCCTCTTCTGTTTTTTTATTGCTGACTTTTGTTACAGCGTTTTAAGCTAAACACACCTAAATACATCCATATGGAATTTATGGGAAGGGAGGGAAAAAGAGAGGGAAACACCGATGTGAGGGAGAAACATTGATTGGCTGCCTCTCCTACACGCCCCAACCAGGAACTGAACCCACAGCCTAGGCACGTGCTTGGTCCAGGAATCGAACCGGCGGCCTTTTGCTTTGCAGGAGAATGCCCAACCAATTGAGCCATGCCAGTCAGGGCACACGTTTATGTTTTCTTAAAAGGTATGAAATAATGAGTCAAGGTCCTAACGAAAATAGTTGGGAAGAGTAGAATAAACCTCCAAAAATGGAGAAAAATGGAAACAGGAGCCAAAATTAATGAAATCAAAACAAACATAATACCAGAGAGGATCAAGAAAACTACAAATGGGTTCTTAATGACATAAATAAACCCCTGGGAAAAAACTGACCAAGAATAAAAGGAAGGATGACACAAATATTAAAGATAAGGAAGGAAATATAACTATAGAGACTGCACATGATTAAAGATACAATGAACTGACACCTGAACATAAAGCATGTTTTCCCACTGAGGAACCATTTTCTCAGCACTGTGTGTTGAGTGGTCCATTCTTTCACCACTGACTAGTAATGGCTTCTTTGTCATATTGTCTGATTTCCCGATAGCTCACTTAATCAGTCCCCTGTGGGAAGACAGTTAGGTTGTTCCTAAGGAATACAGTAAAAGCAGCACTTAGCCCTGGCTGGCGTAGCTCAGTGGATTGAGCACGGGCTTCGAACCAAAGCATCGCAGGTTCGATTCCCAGTTAGAGTACACGCCTGGGTTGCAGGCCATGACCCCCAGCAACTGCACATTGATGTTTCTCTCTCTCTCTTTCTCCCTCCCTTCCCTCTCTAAAAATAAATAAATACAATCTTTTTTAAAAAAAAGCAGCCCTTAGAGGGGAATTACAGCTTTATTCCACCCCAGCAGTCTGTCTGTCCACACCCGGGCTGACATTCCGAGTTCTGTTATCCCTATTTTACAAGACCAGTTCTCTCAGATGTCTGCAGAGCTCACTCTCTCACATCCTTCGAGTCTCTACAAGATCATCGGCCTCTCAGCTGGGACATCTCTTACGCATCTTTTTTTAAAAACTGCAACCTCTGCCCCTCTCCCCCGATACTCCCAATCTCCTGTTCCTGCATTGTTCTTCTCCATAGCTCTTGCCACCACCTAACACAGTTGTATACTGTTCACTGAAGGGTAACCATCACATGGAACGGTGCACAAAGCGTTAAGAGTATGTAACAGCTCAGTATTCACAAAGTGGACTCCCCCGTGTGACTGGCACCCTCCTTAGGGAACAAGGCAGTCCACCACTCACAGACGCCCTGCTGTGGCCTGCTCTGGTCATTACCAGTCCAAGCACTCTGCACACCCAGGGGCAAGCCGCATCCTGACTCCTGACACCGTAGATCAGCACAAGTTCCTGTTTCGGAACTTGATGCGAATGGAATCATAAGGGAACACAATCCCTCTTTTCACTGTGGGTCTCCTGTCTGTCTCCCCCACTGGAAGGCACGCTGAATGCAGGCCGAGACTTTTAGCTCCTTTGTTCATCCCTGAATCTCTAGCCCTCAGACACATAGGAGCCAGCACATAGTTATGAAATTCATTCATTCGACGGAATTAGAGTTTTGAGGTTTCTTGTCTTGACCCTTAATTGTTTGATAACAGTTCTGATTAGTTTGTCAAATCCATGGGGGGAAAAAAACCACTTTGGCATTCAACTTATGGACTGACTTAGAAAAAAACTGTCAGTGTTTCTCTGGTATTGAAATTTCCTGTCCACGAGCATGGCATTTCCCAATGCTTACTCAGGTCTTCCCTTGTGTCTTTTTTAGAAGTGTTTTACTATTTGCTAACAAAGTTCTTGCTTATCATTTTTTAGTCATTTCGAGACATCATTCACTAAGATGAGAAAAAATATCCTTTTCTTTATGTTATAATGTATTACCGCAACTATACTCAAAGCTATTGATTTCTAGAATACTTATCCTGTACCTTTTTTCCTTATCTTAACGCATTAGCCAGGATCTCCTGTGCCATGTTAGACAGTAGTGGTGATAGTAGGCATGCTTGTCTTATACCTAACTTTTTTTTTAAGGTTCATTTTATTCTCATTCAAGAGAGAGGGGAGGAGGGAAAGAGAAACGTCGATGTGAGAGAGCAACACTGACCGGCTGCCTCTTGCATGTGCCCCAACAGGGAATCGAACCTGTAACCTGGGCATGTGCCCTGACTGGGATTAGAACTAGCCACCTTTCAGATGATGCCCCAACCAACTGAGCCATGTTGGCCAGGGCATTACACCTAACTTTTAAAAAAACCTTAACAGCTTTACCCTGGCTGGTATATGTATGTAGCTCAGTAGATTGAGTGCCAGCCTACGAACCAAAGGGTCGCTGGTTTGATTCCCAGTCTGGGCAGATGCCTGGGTTGTGGTCCAGGTCCCCAGTATGGAGCGAGTGAGAGACAATCACACACTGATGTTTCTCTCCATCTCTTTCTCCCTCCCTTCCCCTCTCTACATCTTAAAAACAAAAACAAACAAACAATCTTACAGCTTTAGGCCCTGGCTGGGTAGCTCAGTTGGTTAGAGCATCGTCCCAATACTCCAAAATTGTGGAATTGTGGGTTCAATCCCTGGTCAGGGCACATCCAAGAATCAACCAGTGAATATATCAAAAAGTGGAACAACAAATCAATGTTTCTCAATCTGTCTCTTTCTCCCTTCCTCTCTCTAAAATCAGTAAATAAAAAAAATCTTACAGCTTTATTAAAGTATAATAACTAGCAATCATGCACATATATTTTAAATATGCAATTTAATAAATTTTAACATATGTAAGCTTCTGTGAAACCATTACAATAATGATAATGAATATACCAATCACCCCCCAGTGACCTTGTGACCTTTGTGGCCCTTCTCTCCCCCTCGTCCTCCACCCCACACCGCTCACTTGCCTTCTGTCACTACGTCTAGATTTCTTTGCACCAGCTACAACTTTGTAAGCACAGAATCCAACAGTACTTACTTTACCTGGTTTCTTTCCGTCAGCGTTACTATTTTCGTCAATGTTATAGCATGCATTGGGAGCTCATTTCTTTTTCAAAGTATGATACACCATGATTTGCTGGCCCTCTGGGTTATTCAGTTTCTGACTATTCAAATAAAGCTGCTATGAGTATCCACATGCAAATGACTATGAGGACATATGCTTTCATCTCTTCTGGGTAAATACCCAAGGACATTTTTAATGTCTCACCATTCACTATGTTTCATTTTCGGTTTCTCCACTAAAATTTTATCTTGAACTGCAAATATATATGAGGTCTGTCTGGGAAAAGCCCAGCCATTGTTAATATAATGAGAATAGTTTGTGTGACGTCAATGTAACCTGGCAGCCAAGGAGAGTGGACTGGAATGTGCGTTTGTGAACAATGATGACTCCACTGTACTAGTCAGTGAGCTCAGTGAGCACGTGTGCTGTGTGGCTGTCACATTCAAAATGACTGAGCTAGTAGAGCAGCGAATCTGCATCAAATTTCACGTTAAGCTTGAACTTTCCTCTGCAGAAATTATTCAGGTGATTCAGACAGATTCTGGTATGGGCAACTAGTGATTAGCAGCTTCATCACAGCAACCCACCCACTCATGCATCATGTCTCCGGCAGATTTTCTGGCAAAACATCAAATCACCCAGGTGACTCAGCCCCACTACAGCCCAGATATGGCCCCCTGCAACTTCCGGCTTGTCCCAAAACTAAAAGCACCTTTAAAAGGAAAGAGAATTCAGACTGTCAATGAGATTCAGGAAAATATGACAGGGCAGCTGACGGTAATTGGGAGAACTTATGTGAGGTCCCAAGGTGCCTACATTAAATGTCTCTATTTTGCATATTACATGGCTGAATACTTTCTGGATATTTATTTATTTATTTATTTTTAAACTGCCTTAATCATTTTTGAAGAAGGTGAAGATAAAAACAGCTAAATAGCCCTGGCTGGTTGGTTCAGTGGATCAAGCACCAGCCTCTGAACCAAAGGGTCACTGGTTCGATTCCCAGTCAGGGCACATGCCTGGGTTGCAGGCCAAGTCCTCAGTAGGGGTTGCACGGGAAGCAACCACACATTATGTTTCTCTCCCTCTCTTAAATATAAATAAAATATTTTAAATAATAAATAAATACATAAATAGAATCTTAAAAAAATACAACAGTTAAATAAATGTCCTTGACCACTTACTTACAACTTCTCTATATTTTCCTGGCAAGTGCACCCCTCCAGCACATAAGATACTTTGGGCTTTAACTTATTAGTAATGGTATTGCTAATAATAATGAAAATGTTATTAGCATAATATATTAGTAATAATAGTAGCTAATTTTTGGTATTTATTATGCCAACTGTTATGATAAGCACACTACCTGCATTACATAATTTAATTTACATAATATCCTAATGACATGGGTCAATTTTATCATTTTCATTTTATATGAAGAAACAAATATCTAGAGGCTAAAAAAATATTGAAAGTCTCAAAGATAGCAAGTTGCAGAGCTAGCTTTTGGGCCAACATCCTTTTCCCATGAGAACCAATGATTTTATTTACTTTGTGGCACTTTGCTAAGAGGTATGTCATATCTTCCTGGAAGAAATAAACAATAAGATGCCAACCTGCCATTTCTGAAAGTAGGAACCATTTTTTAAATTGATTTGAGAGAGAGAGAGAGAGAGAGAGAAGGTGGGGGAAAGAAGGGGAGAAGGGAGAGGGGGAGAAGAAAGAGAAAAACATTAACTTATTGGTTGATTCCTATATGTGCCCTGACTGGGGATTGAACCCACAAGCCTGGCATACCAGGATGATGCTCCAACCAACTGAGCTACCTGGCCAGGGCAGGAACCATTTTTGAAGGGAGATGAAGGAGTTAACAAAAACTTCTCCTTTAGCCCTTGCCGGTGTGGCTCAGTTGGTTAGAACGCAGTCCCATACACTAAAAGGCTGGGGTTCGATTCCCATCAGAGCACATGCCGAGGCTGCGGGTTTGATCCCTGACCAAGGCACGTGTGGTGGGCACCCAATCGATGTTTCTCTCTCTCCCTCCCTTTATCTCTCTCTAAAATCAATAAAACATACTTTTAATTAAAAAACAACTTCTTATAAATAAACATCAATTGGAAAAGCACAGTTCCGTTTTTTAAAAAAGATTTTAAAAATCATGAGGAATGACGGAAACTCTCCGGCAGAGGCAGTCTCACCTGACTGGGTAGGATAGATGATGAAATAGTCACTGAACGTGGGCAGCCTCCTCTTCTCAGATACGTCATCCGAGTCCATGGGCTCATCGTCTGTTTCAACACCGCTATCTCTTCTGTCTAGTTTTTGAGGAATGAAGAGACACACGACAATAATTCAGCACTGACACCAGCACCCCTTCATGAAAGTCATCACAAGCTGGTGTGTCCACGAGAGACAAATTTGCACAGAACACTAGGTCAGATGTTAGTCCCACAAGCCACCTGGAATCACAGGGATGGTGGGAGGTCCCTTGACGACTGCACACACCTCTCTCAGAACTTGAGGCTCCCAGACCTACCCCTTGAGGTTGGTGACGTGGTTCATTCCTCAGCCCAAGTCAGCTGTTCTGTCCCAGGTAAGTTTCCCATCCATCCCCTCCTCCCAGCTCAAAGTCCCTAGGATACTACACGACTGAAGTTACATCGGCTAAGGGCCCTGTGATTTAATATACATTATCTACACACATATATTTTTAAACTTATTTTTCTTCTCTCTATCATCAGTGTGAGAATTCTCCGGGAACATGACGAGTCCCAGGAAGTCTCCACTCACCTCCTCTGCAGGCCTGGATTATAAAGATCTTGGGTTTCTCGTGCAGTGCTGGACAGTTTTTATTATTAAACATGTCGAAAATGAGTTCCAGGCTGACTTTCTCATCATCTGTCATTTTAATAAAGCCGTTTTCTCCATGTGACATAAGAGTGACAAGGCAACAGCTAATTTCATCTTTAATTTCATTTAATCCATCACGAAATGACGTTAGTCTGTCAATTAACTCCTGTAAAATAGGAGAACATACGAAAAAGAACTGAAGGGCAGGAAAAAACTCAGGAACACTAGAGGCGGCCCCTTTACCACGAGGTGATCCAATGAGATGATAATTATGCAAATACCTCCGTCTCTGGCAGAGGTAGTATGAGGTACATATTCGTTTCTTGAGTAGTCACTCCCCTGTGGTTGCCCTCAGAACGTGTTTGATTTCTTCTTGTGCTACCGGTTCTGGTTTGACCAAATTAGGGCATTTCTGATTGTCTACCACGAAATACAACAGAATTACCGCTCCCCAAAGGGTGAATGTATTTAAATCTTATCATGAACTTGCTTTAATATATAAAAATTATTTTATAAAATTAACAGCCTCCACAAGGGAAGGGAAGGGAGGAGGTCCAGTCAATAATATACACCTGCCGGAGACTGTCAGCAGATGTCATCAAAATCCATCACACAGGTGGCTGCTGTCCACTGCCAGATATGGTATAATAACGATCCTACCCATCTCAGTGGAGTAAAGTAAAAATAAAATAAAGTTTAAATATTGGAAACAAAGGGCCAAAACACATTTTATATAGAGAGACATCATGACTATCTAGAAATATAAAATAAATCAACTAAGAAACTATTAGCATTACAGATCATCAGGTTAAAAGGACACAAGATGAACACAGAAACCTGCATTCCCCCAAATACCCAGCAATAATCACTTAAGCCACATAATGGAACAGCGGGGATCCCATTTGCGGTCACCACAAAACTAAAATAGCCGAGGGGGGGAAAGCCTAACAAGGAACACACATTGCCTAAATGAGAAAAACCACAAAAAAACGGCCGAGGAGGCCACATGCACAAGCCATGACATGCCAAAGCTTCTGAGATGACTCCATACTGCTAACATGCTAATTCCCTCCAAATTAATCTCCGGTCAATGTCACGTCAATCAAAATCCCAAAGGATGCCTGTCAACGGAACCAGACGATTCTCAAGGCCATAGAGAACAGATCGTTCTCAAGAATACCAAGATCATTCAGAAGAGAAACACAAAGTGGGTGGGCATTAGGTCCTAGCAAATACCAAAAGGCACTACAAAATCGTGGGGGGGAAACAGTGAAAATACTGGCATAACTATAAACAAATATATGAATGGAATATTTTAGAATCCCAAAATCTATTCAAGCACTATGATACAGGAATTAAGTTCATGATAACAGCGGAATTTTTAATATGGGGAAAGTATGGAACATTTGATAAATGTTGAGATGACCAATTTTCCATTTGGAAATCGAGCTAGACCCCCTATACCAACATTCTTACAAAAGTAAAATTATAAGCAGAGGTAAACCTTCAGCTATTTTTAAAACCACAGAAAAATCATCTTAATTTTTTTTTAAAGTGGGAAGGCATGGGGTTTAATCAAAACACGAAAACCAGCCCTGGCTGGCGTAGCTCAGTGGATTGAGCGCGGGCTGCGAACCAAAGTGTCGCAGGTTGATTCCCAGCCAGGGTACATGCCTGGGTGGCAGGCCATGACCCCCAGCAACCGCACATTCATGTTTCTCTCTCTCTCTATTTCCTTCCCTTCCCTCTCTAAAAATAAATAAATAAAATCTTTAAAAAAATGTACAAACTAAAAAAAAAAAAAAACGAAAACCAAGAGCTGACAAACAGGAAGACTAACTAGTTTACTCACAAAAATTAAAAGACTTCCCTATGACTTAAGACAATGAAAAGTCACAAGGCAAGTAACAGAGTAGGAGAAAAATATTTGCACTAGATTTTGTAAACGAATAATGTTCAGGAAAATAACTAGCATAAGAAAAAGAAAACCCAGTCGGAACAGGACAAAGAACACAGAGCTGTTCAACCAAACTAACGACTTAGAAAGTGAAACTTAAAACAATATGTTTTAAGTGAAACGTAAAAACACTTTTGTCAGGGAGATTGCTAAATATTTATAAATAAATGTTAACAGGATGTAGAGAAAGAGGCCATTTCTGGATCTTTGAGAGAATAAAGCAGAAGAATATCAGCAATATCTGTCACCTACACGGAAGGGACTTGATTAAAAATCATGTAATAGGAAAGAGATTCTAGTACAATCCTTGGTGGGGGGAAATGAAGAAGTCTGTTTTTAGCTTTGAAATAATAATAAAAAAAATTTGAAATGTATTGAGCACTTAACTACAAGCCAGCTACTATTCTGAGACCTTTTACACCTGGAAGCTCATTCCATCCTCCCAGCCGCCCTACAAGATATTCACAACTGACCCTGGCCACCCCCATGGCAGAGACAAGAAAGTAACTCAATTAACTCAATTAACTCCTGCAAAATAAGAGGACATATTACAAGGAATTGAAGGGCAAAAGACAAATTGGGAACACAGGAGGTGGCCAATTACTCTAAGCAGTCAATGACTCTAAGGCAGGGTCTGTAAAACCATGGAACTAGTGACGTTTGGGGCCAGATAATTCTTTGCTTCTACCCACTGGATGCCATTAGCACATCCGGTTGTGACAACCAAGTGTCTCCCGACATTGCCAAATGTCCTCTGGGGGACAACGTCACCTTCAGCGGAGAGCCACATCTAAGGTCACCCAACCAGTAGGAGACAGGACCCACCCCTGGCAGTCCACACTGCGCTCACAGCCCTTCGCTGCACTGTTCCTTGATGTGCACGAGCAGTGAGACTCCTGGGATCCTGAAGGACTTTCCTGGGTCCTCGTCCCAAAATACGGGCAGGTCAAGACCATGACTGAACTAGGATCAGAGAGATCAAATGGAGTTCTCACCCTGCCCCCACCGCTCATCAATCTTTCTGTGTCATCTAGTTAAGTCACAAAGCAATTCTGCCCAGGTCTCTCCACGACCCTCTCCCCACCCACCCATCGCATGGTTCCAAGTCCGCCCCACAAGGACCTCTCAAAGCCCACGGGCTCCCACTGCTGGAATCCCTCTGGCCTGGCCTCCTGCGGACCTCTCAAAGCTGTTTCCTTGGTCTTCCCTCCTCCCAGACGCCCTGGACCTTGCCCACTCCGGTCATCCTTGGGCCTCCTTGCCCACGTTGCTTAGGATGCCTTCTTAAGATCCCTTTCCCTCTTCAACTGCACAGCTCCAGCTAAAACCAACGCTCAAGAGGTCCTGCTGGCCCAGACTCGGAGCTGGGGTATCACGCACTTCAGGTTCCAAAAGCATAAAGAATTTCATCAGGACATTCAGGTCCCTGCATGGCAGGTCCTGACTCTCAGCAGGGACTAAAACCTAAATTTTTTTCCAAAAAAAAAAAAAAAAAGAGGAAGGACAGTTATAAAATCCAACCCACTATGGTTCATTTTTATTTTTCATTCATTACCTTTTTTCCGGGGTCGATGCACAGCGTGTGCTCGAACAGGCAGTGGCCGAGCCACTGCTCCATCAGCTCGACGTCCCGGCCTGCCCCCGGCCTGGTCTTCTTCACGCACATGAGGAAAGCCTTCCGGAGGCCGCTCAGGTCGTAAAGGTCCTGTTTTCCAGTGAAGCCAAGAAACGGGACTCAGACCAAACCACACTCGGAGAGCCAAATACCCCTATGCAGCTGACCCACTGAACAGCCAGGGGGTCAGGGGCAGCCACCCTCTGTGCAGCGGAAAACCCGCCTGTAAGTACAGCCAGCCACGCGGACCCTGGAACAACGCGGGCTGGAACTGCCCTGGTCAACTGAAAACGCCCTTGTGGGTGGACCCGCGCAGTTCCAACCGTGCTGTGCAAGGGTCAAGTGTATATACCCAGCGAGGAGTTTCTTCTGGGATTAATGGCGAGGTTTCTGGGTTCAGACCAGGAACACAACACCGATGGCCTCTGCTGGCAGTTCTGGAGGGGAGGCTGACTTGGTTTACAATCCTTTCAAATACCTTTCTCAGGCCTGGACTCCTAGGCCAGTCTCAGAAAGTTCCTATAGATAGCCATGACTACCAGTTTAAAGACACAGGGGGAAGGGGTCAATGATGACACAGGGTTCCAGCCATCAAAATCCAGAAAGTGGGGCATTTTACAGGACAGATAGACTGATTTCTTCAACAAGTAAACAACTAGACAAAGGTTAAAGAAGTTTTGTAAATCACGAGTCTTAAGAGTCAAATGCAATTGTGTAGACCAGAGTTCTGATTCCAACAAACCAATTGTAAGAGACCTGGGAACCGGCCAAGAGAATCTGAAGGCTGCCTGTACGCTGCCTGTACCTTCACCAGGCGTAAGGAGTTTGTTTTAGGTACAACAAGGGCATTACGGTTCTGTTTTGAAAAAAGTCTTTCTCAGAGATACATACTAAGTAAGATAAATATATGCAGATGCAGGTGATATGCCGTCTGGATTTGCTTTAAGATACTTGGGAGGGGGAGCAAATGAAACAAGACTGGCCATTATGTTGCCAGTTGTTGAAGCTGGATGATAAGTATGTTGGACTGCCGTTTTGGGGGATTCATTTTTCCAGCCCCTGTACTTGGCTTATCTTTAAAATGTCCATAATAAAACTTCAAAAAACAAACAAACCCTAAGGCCGGGTAAACAGTGTTTTATCTCCAGCGCCTCACTTTTCTTGATTTGTAAAGTGGAGATAGTAACAGATTCTGGTCAATGCACACACAGTGCTTTTAACTGGCTACTGTTTAGCGTTTCCTGTTAAGACAGAGATCAGTAAGATCTGACCACGGGAGAGAAGCACGCAGGCGGTCTGCCATCTTTCACCCAACGGGAGCAGCACCCCAAACTTTCGAGTGGTGGCGAAATACGGATTTTACTAACGAGGGTGCACTACTGAAGTAAGAGTCAGGATATTTACCAGATCACCGTCCACATAGTCATCGCTTCCCCTTGCACGTTTTCTTGGGATCACTGAATGAATTTTCATGGAAAGAGGACAGAAAATGAGCATTATTATTTTTCTTTTTAATTGCACTTCCCCTGAGGACTTCAATGGCCTCTTGTGTTTTGGGGTCCAGCAGCCTTGGATTTCATTTTAGAACAGTTTCCTTGGATCAGGAACACCCACCCCCTCCCAAACGCTCGAGGCTGAAAACCTAAGAGAGAAGTCCCTTAGACCCCAGGCAGGTTCGGGGGCAGAAAGCCGGAGGCCAGAGATTAACAAGGGCTAACTGACCTTAAGCACATGCACTTCCTGGAAAATAGACAAGACATCAATCACTGAAGAGGAGACAGATAAAGTAAAAGAACTAGACCCTATTTTACTTTTTTTTATTTAGCAGAATATCTTAGCATGCAATTCAAAGACATATTGGCCTACAGTGTGTAGTAGCCATGACATTGTGTAGTTTGGACGAATCTGAGAAAAAAAAGGAAGAAAAAAAATGAAACACTCTGCCAAGCGTGAGTGAGTCACAGCCCTAAAGGGCTATAAACGTGTGATACACAAACAAAGAACAGCAGGGGCATGGTCAGGCTGTGCAGGTGCAGGGAACAAAGGGATCACCCCAGGCTCACTGGGGCAGTAGGGTGCCTACAGGCCTCCTCTGTGAGTGGTCCCTGTCCTCATCCATCACCAAGCTACAAAGATCAGCAACAACCACACACCTCAAAACTCCACCAGGTCATAAGCAGGCTGAGGGCACGTGCCACTTACAGTACATTTTATACATTATACACACAAACATGTAATAAATGGCAGAAGAGGCTAACCTTCTTCAACCTGTTACCTACTGCATTTCTTCATCCTAAACCACATCTCCCCAGATTTATGGCAAATGGGCTAACGGTGTGCAAGAAAGGGGGGAGAGGGTCCCCACTGGAGATATGGCAGAGGGGATTCCCACCCCGGGTTGCTCACGGCATCATCTAAAAACCTGCCACATCGTAACACTTGCAGGTATTTGTTAAAAATGCATCTCAGGCCTGCTGAATCGACCTGACTTCTGAGCCCACCCCAGAACGAACTAGTAGATCCCTGTGGCTCCTCTCCAAATGGCCAATGTCTCCAACTAGCCTGGAAATGGTGACTATCCGGCCCGTGTACCCCGGGACTCCCACCTCCCGCCGCAGAGGCAATGGTTCCCTCGAAGCTCGCACCCTCCCTGCTCGCGTGACTCCTTCCAGCCGCTCCGCTGGGCACCGAGCAGCCCCAAGGGACCCGCACGGAAAGCTCTTAGCCGCCGTGCCAAACCACCCGCAGCCCCAGGGCCACCTCCCGCCAGTGCTCCCAGCCCGGGAATCCGGGCGCTCACCCGGGCCGTTGGCTGCGGGGCCGCTCTCCCAGCGCGGCAGGAGGTCGGCGCGGGGCAGCTGTTGCAGCACCTTGGTGAGGACACGCGGCGCCGACGCGTAGTACTGCTTGGCGAGGAGCCGGGCCAGCTTCAAGGTGCTGTCGCCCTCCAGCTCCAGTTGCACCTGGGTCACGCGCGGCTCCTCGTCCAGCTTTTTGAGGAGGTCGCGGAAATTACGCAGCTCCAGCGGGGTCAGCACGTCCAGGGTCTCCTTCATGTCCAGGGTCAGCTTCTGCATCTCCTCCGTGGCCTGCGCGGTCTTCGGAGGCGCCGCGGGGCCTCCGGAGGACGAGAAATGGCGGACCCCCAGGCTTCCCTCCATCGCCCGCTGGACCAATGCAGGCAGGCCGCAGCCCCGCGCCTCTCGCGCCCTCCAGCTTTCCGCTTTGTTTCGAAGAGAAGTTTCCGCTCAGCCGCCCGGTCCCAGGTATTCAGTCCGTCGCTAGGCTCCGGCGCCTCCCGCCGTCCTTAAGCTGGGGCCGCTGCTGGGCCCCGCCCTGGCCCCGCCCTCAGCCACGCCCCCCACCCCGCTCCCCACTTTCTCCCGCCAGCGCGAGGCCCTCCTGCTTAACCCTTGGAGCTCCTGTTGGGGGCCGTGAATGGTGAATCCCCGGCCGTGTGGCGCTTCTCTGTCTCTGCTTTGGGCTTCGCGTTAGGCTTACTTTGGGAACTTTTAAAACTTCTCGTGCCCAAGCCACATTCGAGGCTAAAACTATTAGAATCTCTGGTGGCAGACCCAGACATCCGTTGTTTTTAAAGTTCTCCAGGTGATTCCAATGGGCTGCCAAGTTTGAGAACCACCGATCTGAGACTCCGGAGTGTTGATCAGCTGCCCGAGCCAGTGGTTCCCAAGGAGCTAGAACTTGGAAGCTGAAATAACACCTACAGGCCCGTTGCGTCGAACCAGCATTTTTGGGAGACTGCGTGGTGACAAAAGCTGAGAAGTTAGAAGTGCACACTGCTCAGCCTGGGGGAGGGGGAGGGGGAGGGGGAGGGGGAGGGCGGGAGCGGAGGAGCGTTGCCTTGCTGAGCGGATTTCAGCTTGGGACCCCCAGAGTCCTGATTGCTAGGTTTCCCAGCTTGATTAGGCCCACAGGACTGACTCACTCTAATCATGGTTTACCCCCAAATTATTCACCCCGTAGAACAGCTGGTGAAAGAACCTCAACACCTTATTTGAATCCTGATTCAAATGAACCGTGAACATTTTTGAGACATAGAAATGTGACTATGGGCTGCATATTGCACGATATGCAAAAAAAAAAAAAATCTGCTTACTTATCCCACGTCGGGTGATAACTGCAGTTAGGTAAGAACAATGTCCATAGCGTTCAGAGATGCACATTGGATTATGGAGAGGTGAGAGGTTTGATGTCTGGGATCTGCTTTTCACAGCTTCACAAAGGAAAGTGGGGCAAGAGTGGCAAGGCAAGCAGGAGTGGCAAAACCCTGACAATTGTTTCATCTGGGTGATGTGAATGAAAGGCCAATGTGCCATTCGCTCCACTCGTGTGATTGTTTGAAATATTTCCCAATGTATTTCTGGAGACGGAGGGTAGCAGCAGCTCAAAAGCTCTACATTCCCCTTTTGGCTCCGACTTAGGAGGCCTTGCCCTCCCTCTGGTTGCCAGATGGCTGTTTCCTCCCACTAAGCCCCGCCTCTAAAGAATTTGCTTGGAGGCTCTTCAGAATAAATTATTAGTTTTTTTTTAAAAAGGCACTGACAGATGTTTACAAAGCCAGGCGCTCACCAGCCACTTCCTGTCTGAAGCTTAATGCTCGTGGGAGACTGCAGGACAGGAAAAAGACAGATTCTTGAGGGCCTGGGATGTGCAGGCCTCAGGGTTATTTGACTCTGGAACCAGGGTTCACAAAAGCAAACTTCAGTTTTACCCGATGTTTGCAGAAAATCAGACAATTTCTCCAATCTTATGACTATTTGCCCTAAAAAAGAACAAATATAGGACGTAGAAGAGTCTCTGGTAGCTGAAATTCACCAGCCAAGTGTAAGGGTGTAAGATGGGCAAATCTGAACTGGGATGAAACTCACACCTCTGGGCCTCAACCCTGCCCCCCACACCCCACCAGGGGCCTCACTGACATCAGGCTCCACCCGCCCAAGGTAAGGAAGGAAGGAAACTGAACAGGCCGAGAGAGAAGACCTGAACACCCCAGCTGTGTCTAAGTTCTTAGGAGGCAGCCACTCGGACCAGTGTTTGTGCTACCCTGCCTTCCCTTCATTCCCATCCAGCACACCATTTCCAGTCTGGGGACTTGGGGGCCACTACAAGCTGAACATCTTACTATCCTCTCCTATTCTCCCCATGTAACTTTTTTTGAATAGGGAATTTTAACCTAAAACCTAAAGTATAAACTTACACATGTAAATCACAGAACTTAACATGTGTCATGGGTTGATTTATGTTCAAGTCCTAACCTCATTCTTCCGTGACCTGATTTGGAAACAGGGTCTTTGCAGATGTAACCCAGTGAACATGGAGGCCACTGTGGCCCTGGCTAGTGTGGCTCAGTTGGTTGGGGAGCAGTTCAACCCAGTCAGGGGACTGGGTTCAATCCCCAGTCAGGGCACCTGCCTAGGTTGCAGGTTACATCCCTGGTCAGGGTGCACTCCAGAGGCAATTGATCAATGTTTCTCCTCTTCTTCCTCCCTCCTCAAGCTTGGAGACAAGGAACTAGAGCCCACAGAGTATGGCTCTGCTGACCCCTTGATTTAGACTTGTGGGATCCTGAACTATGACCGAGTAAGTTTCTGTTGTCAGAAACCACCCTGCTTGCACTCATTTGTTTTGGCAGCCCTAGGAAACTAATTTGCTCATTCAACCCTTACCACCACCCTAGCGTTACGATATTACCATCCCCACTTTCTACGCAATTTCAAGCGTGTCTAATAACTGGGCAGCCTGGATCACAGTTCAAACTTCCTCTTCCTGCTGCTTGGATGAAGTAATGGCCCTTTCCTAAACTGAAAGTTAATAGAGAAACACAGGTACCCACTAGAATGGCTGTAGTAAATCAAAGAGACAGTAACAAGTGTTGAGGAGGATGTAGGAGATTGGAATCCTTATACACTGCTGCTGGGAATGTGAAACGGTGCAGCCACTTTAGAAAAATTTAGTAGTTTCTCAAATGATTAACGTAGTTAACTCATGATCCAACAATAGCATTCCTAGGCATACAGGAGTAGGCAAAAGGAGGTTTACATTTGTGAGTACATGAGCTTACTCTCGTATTATTTATTAATTACTATATTATTTGTATTATGTTAACCTACTTCTGCAACAGAAATGAAAATGTATGAAGTCTGTCCGGAAAAAGTCAAACCATCATTAATATAATGAGAACAGTTTGCACATCAAATGCAACCTGACAGCCAAGGAGAGTGGGCTGGAATGCACACGTGTGAACAATGACGACTTCACTGTGCTAGTCAGTGGGGGCGGTAGATGCCGTTGAGTGAGCATGTGTGCTGTGTGGCTGTCACATTCAAAATGACTGAGCAAGTAGAACAATGAATCTGTATCAGATTCTGCATTAAGCTTGAACGTTCCTCTGCAAAAACTATTTGGATGACTCAAGCCGCAGCTGGGCAACTGATGATTGGCAGTTTCATCATGACAACATGCCTGCACATACATCATTGCCTGGTGCAGGTGTTTTGCGAAACTTCCCATCACCCAGGTGACTCACCCCACCCTACAGAACAGATTTGACGCCCTGCGACTTCTGGCTTTTCCCACAACTAAAAGCACCTTAGAGAGGGAAGAGATTTCAGACCATCAGTGAGATTCAGGAAAATTCAATGGGGCAGCTGATGGCGATCGGGAGAACTATGTGAGGTCCCAAGGTGCCTACTTGGAAGTGGACTGAGGCATCATCGTCCTGTGTATGTTTCTTGTATCTTCTTCAATAAATGCCCTTGTTTTGCCCGGCACGTGGCTGGATACTTTCTGGACAGACCTCACATGCGAGAAAAATGTCTGTTCACAGAAACGTGTACATACATGTTCATAGTGGCATCATTCCTAAGAGCCCAGAAGTGTAAATAATTCAAATATTAGTCCATACAGTGTAGGCACACAGTACCGTAGTCTCCTGCCATAAGAGAGGACAAAGTGTGGAATATGCCACATCACGGACCAACCTCACACACTCTATGCAAAGTGAAAGAGGCCGGACACAAGAGCCCACGTGTTGCGTGACCCCACTGCCAGGAGGTATTCAGAACGGGCAAATTCACAGACAGAAGGCAGACCGGTGGCCGCCCCAGTGGGGCCGGGGTTCAGGTGGAGGATGAGCTGTGAATGAAACCTCAGGGTGGGATAAGCGTGATCTAAAGCTGATTTATGGTAACGGCTGTACCACTGAGTCAAGTCACTAGAAACCCCTGAATCGTGTATTTGAAATGGGTCACTTGATCACAAGTAAAATACAGCTGTGTAAAAACGTTAGGTCCTAAATTTTAGGACCTATCCAGGTCTTAAAACAGAGTGATAACAGTAGGTTTTCCAATCAGTTTCCAATGATAAAGTGCTTCATTTTATTTATCCAAACTTTAGTGGCAGAAAAATGTCAGAACTCCAAGTTTAACCAGTGTTGGGGCCAAGATACTCAGGAGCTTTATTGGGACACTTACAGGCTAGGAAGCCACTGTCCCCGACCCCCTCCTGCAGGGCATATGTGAAGTTGATGAGGGCCAATTAAGTGGCGACACCTTCTCCTCTTCCTCCTAACATCACTGCAGAGGTGGGCTTCGGCCTGGTGACAGTGACTCCTCTCTGCAGAACACCCCCGCCCCCAGCTGGAGCCCGGGTGGCCCACAGCTTCTCCTGCCTTGCAACTGACTCCCTGCCCGAGAACAGATCCTAAGCGGCACCCGCGGTGTAGGGGGGCGGCTGCAGCAGAGACCCCTGACAGAGCTCGCTCTTGGGAAATGCTTTCAAGTAGCCTTGCGGGGTGTGCGGGCCCTTCTCCTAACCGCCCAATGTGCTGCAAATATCAGTGACTCCTCTTCTGGGGGATCCCGAAGGCTTGAGTCAGGGGCCCATCTAGTCTCTACTTGAACTCGGTAACAAGGTGACAGACACATGTGCCTGGCTTTCCGGATAGGACTTCATCCCACTCCAGGACAGTGAGACGGAGCAGCCCTCGGCAGAAACCAGGCAGGGCGACAGATCCCATCTTTCCCCGGTGCCCTCGCGGTCAGGACTTCAGCCCCATCTTGGCCATCATCTCTTCATAGACTGTCCACGCCATGGCTGCCATCAGAGTCCTGCGGAGGGCCCGGGGGACACTGCCGTGGAAGAAGCCACGCAGCCCATAGTCCTAGGAGGAAAACGGATGTCACTACTCTGCTAAGTAGCAAAATGATTATACCTGGCACAAGAGTGAGGGCATCTCACTGTTACTGCATTTTGGACTTTTAGACTTTTATAAATAATGTCAAAACTATGACTAGTGGTTCCAAGGAGACAATAAACTTGAATTTTTTTATTATTATTACTATTTTCTATACAGAGGCTAAACCTCATCTTTCTAGGTTTTCTCTGTCCAGGGGGAGTCATTTCTTAGCTGAAAATCTTTCCACGGGACTGCTGGGCACAGCTGCTCAGCAGGTTAGGGTTAGGAATCCGGATGAAGGGCTGCTCGCCAAGGCCTGGGCCCTGGAGGAAAAAGGTGCCCTTGTGGCAATTTCTCTGCCTAGAGGAAGCATTTGTCCTTCTTTTCTTTTTTTTCTTGGTAATTCACTGTATATTCTTGGTGGCCCTGTACCAACGTTTAAAGACAAAACACCTCTTATTCCTCCCTGATAATCTGGAGTGATTTGTTCATTCCTACTGTTCTCGTTCCTGCCACTTTCACATACACTGAAGAGTACATTTCAAACTTTATGATTCTGGGTACAGAGAAGAAAAAAGCAGGCAACCAGGCGATCGGAGTCACGACTATTTGCTCACACCCAGGGTGGAACAGACGGTTGACGTAGCCGACGCATATGCTTCCCCCGCTGCAAACTGAGAGCTCCAGAAAAGCCCACAGATGCAGGCGACAAGTTTACCGTGGACAAGAGTTTCTGGCCAACGGTGCCTGTTTGCCAAGGGCCATCTCAGGGGCTTTGAAATAGTACTTTAGTGCACTTCACATCTCCTTGTTCTCTTCAATAATATTTGTGTGAGAGCGGACAGCTAGAATCGAAACAATGTGTGTGGGGGTTTTTTTCTGACTCTGTTTCCTCCTGGGTCCTTGATCAGACCCTTAGGTCCCCCCAGATCACCTCATTCAATAGGTCTGGGGTAGAACCCCTCACAAATATCACAGGTTGTCCTACTGTAGCCCCCAACAAAAAAAAAAAAGTAGGTTTTTGGCAGTGGTTCTCAACCTTGGTAACACACTGGAACCACTGAGGAACTTAAAATACTGATACCTGGGAATCGCCCTCCAGAGATTCTGATATAATCAGCCCAGGTGATTCTCTTGTGTAAAGGATAAGAGTTACTACTACAGGGTCCAGCAGAAGTAACACCATCAGGGTACGTGAATGTCTCACACGAGATGGACAGCAATTTGAATATTTTGCTTAAAATGTCCTATGGTGTGTCTGAGTGTGCTACTGTTATGTTACAGAATGCCATGCTTATGGTTTTGTAATAAAAGCTTTTTGTGTAATAAAATAGGGACGTTATCTGTGCCAGACCCTGTATTCGAGAGAGAGAGCCCTAACCACAGTAAGAACAAACACTTATTCTCTCGCCTCACCTTGAAGATGATTGTCACCGCCTGGCCAAACCACCGAAATTTCACCGGGGAGAGCTGCATGTGAGTTTTGATGACATCCGCAGGCTGAGTCACCAGCGAGGCCAGAACACCAGCAAATACCCCACAGCCGAAATTTACAGCGGGAACGAAGACTGCATCCAGCTGGTCTGAAACAGCACAAAGGTGACATTCGGTGATACGTAAACTGCACGTTCATCAGATAAGTATCAATGCCAAGTTGCCCACTAATTCTTCCCCAAAGCCACAAGGGTCTAGATTCAAACAAGGTTAAGAAGTAAAACCTTTAAAGGTCTAACTGATAGAAGTAGATGGAACAATGGAGTGAAAATTTCATCTCTTTCCTACCATCACATAAACACTGACTCAGGCAAGAACCAATGACTGGTGCTCAGACACTCGGATGACAGGAACAGGGTGTTTTATATGGATTTATGTAGGTTCAGAGTTATCTCCCCACGGAGATACTTACATGTTACAAAAGAAAAAGCAACTGAGTTTTCAGTGGAGACGCAATCTTATCCACGTGATAAAAAGTGGACACTACCCACAATGGGTCAAACTGATGTCATGAGCTTCCTGATGGAAGGCACTGGGGACACAATATCGCTTATGAGATCCTTTTGCTAAAAATGAGTAACTGAACCTAGTTACAAGGAAACACCGGAAAAACCTAGGCTGAGATTATGAAACTGGTCTATACTGTGGGAAATTAAAAAAAAAAAAAGTTGCCACAAAGCATAAAGGCTGGAACAACTGCAGAAACTAAGACTATAATTAAACTTTAAAGAACTGTATCTGGTGGATTGAGCGCGGGCTGCGAACCAAAGTGTCGCAGGTTCGATTCCCAGTCAGGGCACATGCCTGGGTTGCAGGCCACAGCCCCCAGCAACCGCACATTGATGTTTCTCTCTCTCTCTCCCTCCCTTCCCTCTCTAAAAATAAATAAATAAAATCTTAAAAAAAAAAAAAAAACTGTATCTGTGTTGCCCCTGACCCACATGGCTCAGCTGGTGGGTGTCATCCCGCAAAGCAAAAGGTCGCTGTTTGATTCCCAGTCAGGGCACACGCCTGGGTTGTAGGTTCGGTCCCCGCCAGGGCACATGCGAGAAGCAACCAATGGATGTTTCTCTCTCACATCAACGCTTCTTCCCCTCTCTTTCCTTCTCTCAAAAATAAATAAATAAAATCTTTAAAAAATAAATCAAAGAACTGTACCTATGTTAAATTTCCTGGATCTGGTAAGATGGTCACATAAAAATGTCTTTGTTCTTAGGAAAGACATTTCCTTGTTCTTGTTCTTAGGAAATGCACACTGAGGTACTTAAGGGTGAAGGAGCATCATGTCTGCAAGTTACCCCCCTTTTTTTTAAAGATTTTTATTTATTTATTTTTAGAGAGGGAAGGGAGGGAGAGAGAGAGAGAGAGAGAGAAACATCAACGTGCGGTTGCTGGGGGTCATGGCCTGCAACCCAGGCATGTGCCCTGACTGGGAATCGAACCTGCAACACTTTGGTTTGCAGCCCGCGCTCAATCCACTGAGCTACGCCAGCCAGGGCTGCAAGTTACTCTTAAATGGTTTTAAAAAGAACCAATTATACACACAGAAAGAATAAAAAGGGTTTATGAAGTTATCTGTATTATCCTCGTGGGATTTTTGTGAGTTTCAAATAAAACTTAAAACACTTGCAAAGACGGGCTGAGAAGGTAAAAACGCACACCCGAGTTCCCCTCCTGCCTTGCCCCGCACTGTAAAACGAGGCCGTGACCCGCAGTGTCACTCCCCCGGTGCCTGGGGAGAAGATCTCCCCGAGCACCCCAGCGGCAGCTCCTCACCACCGTCACGATGCCGACACCCCAGCTTTCCCAGTTCATTGACTCGGGTGCAATTCTTTGCTCGAGTCACCCACACACACCACACTGAACACAGGGCCGTTCTACAGGGTGTTTCTATCAGCAAGTGGCTCTTCCTGGGTGGACGTGCACCGCCCACTGCGTGTGCCCACGGCCTGTCCAACAGCAGCGTCCGGGCAGGGCGGGCCTGCCAGGATACCACCCACACGGAGGGCCCGAAAGCACGTTAGCGGGGAACACAGCGAGGGAGGTGAAAATAATGCTTTTCCTTCAGCTCCTAACCATGTGGCGTTTCCCAAGCTCGTCTGAAAAACAAATCACATCAATTGCATCTTGAAAAATACCCAGGCCTCCCCACCAGGCTTCTGATTTAGGAGGTCTTGGGCCGGACCCAGCAATCTTAAGGTCAGGCACATTTAGGAAGTATGCTTACAGGCCCTATGTAAAAGTGCTTTATTCCGCCCCGTTCCCCACTCTAGGCTTACAGTACACCCCTTTGCAAAGGCTAAACTGGAAGGGCCACGTCCCAACGCCGGGCGCACACCTCACAGTGGGCTGCGGGGGCTCAGGCTCAGCTCCTGAAACCCCACTAAGAGTCCCAAAGGGTCTCCTGGCCACCACAAATGGTCACAGAGAAAGCGGTGGGAACGCGTCTGGGGAAGGGCCCTTCCCCACCACACCTCCCTTTACTCATACCGTGGGACACGAGGTTTTTGGTCTGGGTGTAAAACATCAGGTAGATTCCAGAGAACGGTGCGTCCCGCAGCAGCGTGGCTGTCAGGCCGCTGAAGAGGCCCCGGGGGCCCTCGCTGCGGTAGATGCTCCTCAGGGCTGCATAGACGCTCTCGTAGCCGTACCTCCCGCTCTGCGGAGGAAGCACAGGACCTGGGGCTCGTACTGCACCTAGCCCCTTGGGGCAGGCTGCACTACCGGGGCACCGCATGCGCGGAGGGGCTCTCCGGCCACACCGACTCCGTGTTAGTTTATGAACTGGGAGGAGAAGTGACATCAGCGGCCACTTGACTCCAGAGGCCCGTGCCTCGGTTTCCCCACCCTGAGGGCCTAAAGCAACCCAACTCACCTCGTAACGCGTCTTGATGACAGTGATGGGTGACATGCAGACCCCTGCGACGGAGCGAGAGCCCACCCCCAGCATGACCGACTCCACGGCGGTGGGGGGGTGGCCCCGCAGGAAGTGCTGCTTCAGGGCGTACAGGCTGCTGAAGTAGATCCCGACGCCGGGGACACACCTCACGATGGACTGCGGCGGGGGTGGTGGGGTGAGGAGAGAAATGAAGGACCCACGCTGTAAGATACTGTCTTAACTAGATTTTCCCGAATGAGGCAAATGAGGCAATTTTCGTGCAAGCAAGCAGCTGATTGAAGGTGTGGAGGCCACACCCACAGGAGAGCGGGAAGGCAGCCGAGGAAGGGTGTGTTATCTCATCAGTCACTGCAGCCTAATCCCCGAGGGGAACTCCGGGCAGGGGCTGTAGTGGGGAGGGGAGGGAGGTCTGAACACCCACTCTCATTTCTCCCTGGGGTGAGCACTCATTCCCTGGCACTTCCAAAGTGAGTTCCTAAGACCAGAAGAAGCCTTCAGGTGAAGAAACGCTACTGTGGGGGTCTCAGCCCTCCCGCACTGAAGGGCAAGGGCAAGGGTTTGCTGGCCAGCTGCAGCTGCGTCTGCGTCTGCCCCAGGGCTGTGCTGCACAAGGAAGTGAGGCCTTGTCAGGTACAGATGTCACAGTCCCTGCCCACTGCCCCCCCTCCCCCCCATCAGAGGTCAGCAACAGCAGAGGACCCGGGCAGGAAGACCTCGGAGGTCCTCCCACCAGCCCCCAACGCTCACGTTTCCTTAAAGGAGAGGATAGCGGGGAAGGTAAGAAATGGCTGGTTATGAAGGAGAGGGTGCAAGAGAAGATCCCAAGGGCAGCTTACCGGAGACATCCCTTTCCAAAGGCCCAGGAGGCTCTCGGTGCGGACCACCTGCAGGAGCAGAGCCAGCATCCCGATGCGTCTGGACCTGAGGGCAGAAGACAGCAGGGGGCAGGGACGGAGAAGTCACTCAGACCACGTCCCCCCCAGAAGAGAACTCCCCACTCAAAGACCTGTCCGCATGGACGCTTTCCCGGAGCCCTTACGAATCTCGACAACGCGTGCTGGAAGCTCGGAGTTCTTCTGCGTCATGATCTGACGCCTACGTGTTTATCTGTCCTTTCACACTGCACGCAAGGGGGTCGCTTCTGTTTTACAGCCTTCCGTCTTACAGGTGCCGCACACTCCCCCCAGTGCTGACCCCAATATGGGGACACAAAAAAGGCACTCAATACCTGCGGCTCAGTTCTGGCACCACAGGCTAGCAAATAAAATGCAAATGCCACTGAGGCAGGTCCCAGGAAGCTGCTCAGGGAAGGACCCCATTTGATTAATAATAAATTACATTAGTTAATGTAAAAAGCATTCACAGGAAAAAAAATATACATAAAACCCATGAGAGCTGGGCCTGGCCCGTCTCCCTGTGAACGCCCAGAAAAAGAGAAGGTGACTTAGCACAGGACAGATGCTCCTGTGTCTGAGAAGCTGCTGAAACCGGTTCTTCAGGAAGCGGGGACAGCGGGCCTCACCCAGGGACCGTGGGCTGGAGGGTCTGCAGGCGTGTTTTGAGGAGGTCCAGGGGCTGGAAGAGGAGGGTGGAGCAGGTGCCGCTGATGGAGCCGCACAGGAAAGCCTTGATCACCGGATGCAACTGCAGGGCAAGGGGACAGTGTCAGCAGCTCGGCCTCGGCGGGCCTCTCCTGTGCAAGGGTCCCGCAGAAACACGCCCGGGGGCGCCCTGCCTGATCTTCAGGCTTCGGAGGAGGGAAAAGCGTCGCCAGGTGTGAACAGTGCTGCCAGGCTGTTGGGGGCGCAGGACACTGCGAGGGGTAGCTCTCTGGTCTATTGGCATGGACGATAACTTTGCTCCTACTGAGCACCGTGTCTATTTCCATCTGTGCGTTATGCCACTAACCATCCCTCCCCAGGTGTCCCCACGATAAAAGTTATTGCCCATCTCCTTATCGTCACAAAAGCAAAGTCAACTGATCACGGTGTTTAAGCGCCGAACAGCTGGTTTCCAGGCTGCCGTGGCGCCAGGGCCTGTGGCCGTTCAGGGCAACAAGGAAGTGAAACCTTAAGCTCAGCAGCAACGCAGATGTAGGCACCACTTCCTCTGAAACTTGTGAATTTCTTTAATTTAAAACTTTCCTGTCTCTAGAGGAAGAGCAAGAAATTGAAAATTTATTTGCAAAAATAATGACGGAGAACTTCCCCAGTCTGGCAAAGGAAAAGCTGGACCCAAGGAAGCACACACCAAGGCACATCATCATTGCATTACACAAGATTAAACGTAAGGAGAGAATCTTAAAAGCAGCAAGAGGAAAGGAGACAGTTACCTACAAAGGAGTTCCCATAAGACTGTCAGCTGATTTCTCAAAAGAGACCTTGCAGGCAAGAAGGGGCTGGAAAGAAGTATTTGAAGTCATGAAAGGCAAGGACCTGCATCCCAGATTGCTCTATCCAGCAAAGCTTTCATTAAGAATGGGAGGGCAGATAAAGTGCTTCCCAGATAAGGTCAAGTTAAAGGAGTTCATCATTACCCAGACCTTAGTATATGAAATGTGAAAGGGACTTATCTAAGAAAAAGAGTAAGATCAAAACCAGAAAAAGTAAAATGACAACAAAGACAACTATCAACAACTAAACCTAAAAAAAGCAAAAACAAAAACAAACTAAGCAAACAACTAGCACAGGAACAGAATCACAGAAAAGGAGATCACATGGGGAGTTCTCAGTGGGGAGGGAGAGGGGAGGAAATGGGGGAAAAGGTACAGGGAATAAGTAGCATAATTGGTGGGTAGAAAATAGACAGGGGAGGGTTAAGAATAGTACAGGAAATGTAGAAGCCAAAGAACTCATATGTACGACCCATGGACATGAAATACGGGGGAGGGGGAAGCAGGGGGTGGGGGTGTGCAGGGCAGAGAGGAATAAAGATGGGAAAAATGGAACAACTGTAATAGCATAATCAATAAATACATTAAAAAAAGGAAAAATAAAATAAAACTTCCCTTCTCTCACACCCACATGTCTCTCTGGGATGTAAGCAGCTCGCAGTGCCAGGTGCGGACCGGTGGCCTCCCCTGTCTGGCGGGCTCTCCTTTCAGCCAGGACAGTCACACACACGGGCGAATGCAGAGGTGCCACCGGGAAGGGCAGGACTCCATCAAAACCAACTGCACTCCCCAAGACAAGCCCCGGAGCCCTCTCGGCACGCCCCAGGACCCAGCCTCAATCACACACCCTTTCACAAAAGACCTTTTCACAAATCCAATGAGAGGTTGGCCATTTCTCCATCAGGAAGGATGGATGGCTGGAGTTTTGGCAAATAAACTAGCACGGCTTCCGGTGCTTTGACGAAACCTCAGGCGTGCGGCCTCCTGGCCAAACACGCACTATTCCATCGGTGGAGCGATCACTGCGCCCCGGCGGCTGCACGCAGCTTTCTGGAAGTTTGCATCTGGGCCGAACCAAGACGGCACGCACCGACTGCCACAGAAATTACGATTCCATGACATGTTTTGAGGAGATGAGGAGGGCTGACATCTCAGAGGGCAAAGTGATTTGGGGAGGTCAAGAATTTATTTATTTGGGGTGAGTTCTGTGGAAGTTTGTCACTGCCCCATGACCCTGAACTATGAAACATGAGCGGAGGATTTGTTTCTCGAGATAAATAAACAATTAAGAAATACTGTGAAAAAAAATCCAGCCAGGAAAGGAAGCCTTCTCCAAAGGAAGACACTTGGCAAACTCCACTCAGAAAGGTCTTCTCTCCCCTCATCATTCTTAAAGATTTTATTTATTTATGTTCTAGGGAGAGGGGAAGGGAGGGAGAGAGAAAGGGAGAGAAACATCAATGTGTGAGAGATACATCAATCAGTTGCCTCTTGCACGCCCCCAACTGGGGAGCTGGCCCACAACCCAGACCAGTGCCCTGACTGGGAATCGAACCAATGACCTTTGGTTTGCAGGCGGCACTCAATCCACTGAGCCACACCAGCCAGGGCTCCCCTCATTATATTCAAATAAATGGTGTACTGTGATCCCAAAACACTATTAACATGAATATGAAGTTGCCTTTAACCAAAGTGCTCATAATCTGTGACGTTTGTTTCCCAGAGAAGAGAGATCACCCCACATTCCACCAGCCCAGCCAGCCTCAAGTCCTAACTGGAACTACTGCGAAGGCCAACGGGGAACGGACGAGATAAGGTCACACAGCAAATACTGGAGCTTATAACTACGTCCAGGCACTTGCGAAAGGATCAGAAGGCGGTAGCACTGGCGAGATGACGAGTGAAACAGCCCGTGTCCTTCCACAGGTCGGAGTCGGCGCAGAGCCCCTCGCCCAAGGACAGGTGCCTGCCCCTTCTGCTCACACGTACTCCCAGAAGCGCCGCGTTTCTCGGCCTCCCCCGAGACTCCGCAGCATCCGTGAGCCACTCTCCCCTGCACACCCGGCCTCTCCCTTCCAGTGGCAGATCTCCTCCGCGGCCTGGAAACACGCTCCCCAGCGCCCGTCACCAGTCACCCCTCAGGCCCCACCATTTGTCGTCCCGCTGAGGTCTCTCCACTAAGCTGCCTGCCCGCTTGCCAAGGCCTCGCTGCGCCCCGGGGCCCTGTTCGGCCTGCGTCCTTCTCTTACGTGGCCTCTCTGCTGCATCTGAAACGGCTGACTGCCTCCCCTCTCCCCAGGGGGCCTGCTGGTTCTTCTTTGCTGCACTTGTTGATGCTCCTCTTATCTCCTCAGAGGCAGCCTCTCAGGGCGACCTCGCCCTGCCCACGCCCACACCACGCACAGCCGCAAAGCCCGGACCTCAGCCCTGGGCAGCCTCCCTGCAGGCTCCGCTATTCCCACGCCTCCTCCACCTCCCGTCGGCACACGGGGGTCTGAAACTCGGCATTCCAAAACGGAAACTCAGTCAACCAAAGGGTCGCGGGTTCGATTCCCAGTCAGGGCCTCCTTGGGAGTCGGGGTTGTGGGCCAGTTCCCCAGTAGGGGGTGTGCGAGAGGCAACCACACATTGATGTTTCTCTCCCTCCCTTCCCGTCTTAAAAATAAAATCTTAAAATCTTATACCCATTGATTCTAGCGAGGGGGGAAGGGAGAGAGAAACACTGATCCAGCACGCACCCTGCTCAGGGATGGAACCCGCAACCTAGGCAAGTGCCCCGACCGGGAACCAAACCCGTGACCTTTATGTTTATGGGAGGACGGTCCAACCAACTGAGCCACCCGGCCAGGGCTGCTGCCATGCTTCAGTGTGACAATCTAAGGGAAAGAGGTCAGTGCCCCCGACTAAACAGTCAGGTTTAACCAATCTTGCCGGCCCCAGCCGCTCTAGTCCACTTCCTACCCAGCAGCCAGAGTCATCTCTTAAAACTGCAAGTCAGCCCACCTGCTTCCAGGAGCAAACACCTTCAGAGAGAGGCTTGAACCAAAACTGAACAACACCCTTTCATTGTTCCTCATTCCTTTCAGGGAAGAGTCCAAACTGCTGGCTGGCGACCTCCCCCGAGTCACCAGCCCCTGTCTTACTTTCACTGCCGGCACTCTCGGCCTCCCGCCTCTTACACGCTCTGCAGTTACAACTGTAACGGCTCACTGCCTTCCTCTCACCTCTGAGAACCCTGCCCTAGTTCCCCCACGCCTAAGGAATCCCTGGGGGCCTCTGCTGACACCTCATCAGCTCTGGAAAGCCCCCCACACCTGAGCCCGTCTCCCTGTGACTGAGGGCCCAGGACAGGTGAGGCCATAACTCCCGGCTCTGCAGTTCACGGTGGCACGCCCAGCACTGACCACGGAGCCTGGGGCCCTGGAGGAGCTCCACGGTCACAAACGAATGAATCAGCCACCAGAAAACATGCCCGTGGCCCTCCCTGGAGCATAACCCCGCAGCACAGCACTCCGTGGGCCCTGTGGGCCCCATCCCTAGACCAGTCAGCAACCACCCCTGGGCGTCCTCCAGCCCCTGGCTCTAGTTCCAGCTTCTGAGAAGTCCCCCGGGGGCAGAGGGGGGGTCTGCTTCCCCAGCCTCCCCCTCACCCCCTGCACAGGCAGGTGTTGTATGGAAGTGGCTTCAGGGCTGCTGTCCTTCCCACACACACACCCGCCCCCACTGCATTAACCACCTTCTCTATGGTTTATTTTCACCGTGCAGTGCTCCGACCTATCATTGGCTCAACAAATATTTGCTGAATGTGTGAATGGAGCCCGTAACTTTTTTTTTACTTTACAGTTTTCTGGGTCCATCAGTGCACAGCAGCTGCCAAACACGTAAGTGTGGCCATAAGGCGTAAGAACGCCCAAGCCAGTACAGGATGCTTGTAAGAATTTATTTGGGCCCACGTGGCAACTGCCAGGAAGCAAGACCTCAAACGCTCAGGAGAATGACAGCTTTGCAGCTTCTTTTATGCATGCGGAATTAAGAAAGGTATGTTGTCAAAAACAGTGGACAGGGTTTGCTTAAGGCAAAGATAAACCTTGTACTAAAAAAGCTGTGTGCCTGGGGCATGACTACCCACCTTGACCTGCCCAGGTGGGAGTTATGGTCAGGTCATCCTGTGAAGTTATTTTCCACAGAAACCCTCTTTTTTTTTTTTGTCCACAACTAGCAGTATAGATTAACCTCTAATTGTTAAAAGTAA